CAACCATTATTTTGCATTGGTCGTCACAGTAGAAGGCTTTATAAACATCCAAAAGATCACAGATTAGCAAGGTGCTGAAGAGAGGAAGGTTCTTATGACAGTCTCTGTCACGAGGGAAAAAGTACTTGACAAACAAATGACAATAAAGGCAGACAAGTCACGAGGAGGCTGCAGGGATAATACAGGCATTTGTCAAAATATTCAAGAACTCATGGAATCCATGAGGATTCCAGCAAATTGGAAAACTGCTGATTTGATGACCCTATTCGAGGAAGGAGTCAGAAAGTTGAAAATTTTAGGCCAGTTAGCATAACATTTGTCATTGAGGAAAAAGCTAGAGTCCCTTATTAAGGAAAAAAATAAGAAATTTAGAAAAGCTGAATTCAATCAAGATGTTTCCACTATTGGGGGTAATTCAAACTAGGGACATAGTTACAGAATAAAGAGCACTCAATTAAAAATGAGAGGTGAAGGAGTTTCTTTTCTGGGAGGATAGTGGGTGTCCAAAATTCCCAAGCTCAGAGAGTTATAGAGGTTGGATCACTGAAAGTATTGGAAGAGGAGGTAGGTATTTGAAAAACTTGGAGTTGGCTATGAGGGGTTGGAATGAAAAAGGATTTGAGACCTGTGAAAGATCAGCCATGGTCTTGTTAAATGGTGAGCTGGGCTCAGTTCTACTTCAATTTCTTATGTTAGAACAAAGAACATAGAAATGAAAGCACAGGAATGGGCCCTTCAGCCCATAATGCTGTGCTGGACATGATGCCAAATTAAACTAATCCCTTCTGCCTGCCATTGGTCCATGTTCCTCTATTCTTTGCCTATTCATTTGCCTATCTAAAAGTTTCTTAAATGCCCCAAAGTATCTGCCTCCACTTCTACCCCTGACAGCACGTTCGACACTCCTATCACTCTGTGTAAAAGACTTGCCTCTCACATCTCCTTTGAACTTATCCCGCCACCCTCACCTTAAATGCATGTCCCTCCTAGCTTCAGACATTTCAATTCTGGGAAAAACATTCTGACCGTCAACCCAATCTATGCATCTCATAATCTAATTAACACAGGGTCACTTAGCCATGAGTAAAGATCGTGTGACTTTGTCATTCTTCCTGTCAAAGTAAACAACTTCACATTTTCGCAAGTTACGCTCTGCCAGATTATTGCCAACTCACTCAGCAGTAACAGAATATTGAAAGCTGATCGTCAATACTTTCAATATCTCTGTAGCAATTTCCGCCAACACTCGATGGGAGATGTTATCAGGTTCTTAGGGTTGGTCAATTTTCAGTCTCATTTCTCCAACACGACTTATTGACTGGGACTAATTTCTTTCGGTTCCTCACTCTTACGAGACGCTTGGATAATTTTATGAGTAGTTCTGACCTGTCCAGGAGATTCACACTTTCTATCTTCTTAAAGGCCGAAAGAACAAATTTGAGAAATATGAATACAGCTGTCGAAAACCTCTCACCTGTCAGAACAAGAGATAGTAGGAACTGCAGATGCTGGAGAATCCGAGACAACAAGGTGCAGGGCTGGATGAACACAGCAGGCCAAGCAGCATCATAGGAGCAGAAAGGCTGACGTTTCGGGCCTAGACCCTTCGTCAGAAAAGGGGGAGGGGAAGGGAGTTCTGAAATAAATAGGGAGAGAGTGGGAGGCAGATAGAAGATGGATAGAGGAGAGGACAGGTGGAGAGGAAACAAACAGGTCGAAGAGGTGGGGATGGAGCCAGTAAAGGTGAGTGTAGGTGGGGAGTTAGGGAGGGGATAGGTCAGTCCAGGGAGGATGGACAGGTCAAGGGGGCGGGATGAGGTTAGTAGGTAGGAGATGGGGGTGCGGCTTGAGGTGGGAGGAAGAACAGGTTAGGGAGGTGGGGATGAGCGGGGTTTTGGGATGCGGTAGGGGGAGGGGAGATTTTGAAGCAGTTTTTCCGCCGCCTCCGCCTCCACGCTTACTTCTTCAACCGCGAGCCTAACCCTCCCTCTACTGACCCCTTCTCCCGCTTCCAACACACCCCCTCCTCCTGGACACCACCCCAAGGCCTCCTACCCTCCCTCGACCTCTTCATCTCCAACTGCCGTCGAGACATCAATCGCCTCAACCTCTCCACCCCTCTCACCCACTCCAACCTCTCCCCCGCAGAACGTGCAGCCCTCCGCTCCCTCCGCTCCAATTCCAACCTCACCATAAAACCCGCAGACAAGGGAGGCGCAGTTGTAGTATGGCGCACTGACCTCTACATCGCCGAGGCCAGACGCCAACTCTCCGACACCATCTCCTACCGCCCCTTTGATCATGACCCCACCCCTGAGCACCAAACCATCATCTCCCAAACCATCCACAACCTCATCACCTCAGGTGACCTCCCATCCACGGCCTCCAACCTCATCGTTCCCCAACCTCACACTGCCCGCTTCTATCTCCTTCCCAAAATCCACAAACCTGAATGCCCTGGTCGACCCATTGTCTCCGCCTGCTCCTGCCCCACCGAACTGATCTCCAACTATCTGGACTCCATTTTCTCCCCCTTGGTCCAGGAACTCCCTACCTATGTCCGTGACACCACCCACGCCCTCCACCTCCGCCAGAACTTCCAATTCCCCGGTCCCCAACACCTCATCTTTACCATGGATGTCCAGTCCCTCTACACCTGCATTCCCCAGACAGATGGCCTAAAGGCCCTCTGCTTCTTCCTGTGCCGCAGGCCCGACCAGTCCCCCTCCACTGACACCCTCATCCGCTTAGCTGAGCTCGTCCTCACCCTCAACAACTTCTCTTTCAATTCCTCCCACTTCCTACAGACAAAGGGGGTGGCCATGGGTACCCGCATGGGCCCAAGCTACACCTGCCTCTTTGTAGGTTACGTGGAACAATCCCTCTTCCGTACCTACACTGGCCCTAAATCCCACCTCTTCCTCCGTTACATTGATGACTGTATCGGCGACGCCTCGTGCTCCCACGAGGAGCTCGAACAGTTCATCCACTTCACCAACACCTTCCACCCCAACCTTAAGTTTACCTGGACCATCTCTAATACCTCTCTCCCCTTCCTGGACCTCTCTGTCTCCATCTCGGGCAACCACCTAGAAACCGATATTCATTTCAAGCCCACCGACTCCCACAGCTACCAAGAATACTCCTCCTCCCACCTACCTTCCTGCAAAAATGCCATCCCCTATTCCCAATTCCTTCGCCTCCGCCGCATCTGCTCCCAGGATGAGGCATTCCACTCCCGTACATCTCAGTTGTCCTCATTTTTCAAGGACCGTAACTTCCCCCCCTCAGTGGTCGAGAACGCCCTCAACCGTGTCTCCCACATCTCCCGCAACTCATCCCTCACACCCCATCCACGCAATAAGAACCAAAACAGAATCCCCCTCATCCTCACGTACCACCCCACCAACCTCCGGATCCAACGCATCATCCTCCGACACTTCCGCCATCTGCAATCCGACCCCACCACCAAAGACATCTTTCCCTCCCCACCCTTATCTGCTTTCCGGAGGGACCACTCTCTCCGTGACTCCCTTGTCCACTCCACACTCCCCTCCAGCCCCACCACACCCGGCACTTTTCCCTGCAACCGCAGGAAGCGCTACACCTGCCCCCATACCTCCTCCCTCACCCCCATTCCAGGCCCCAAGAAGACTTTCCACATCAAGCAGATGTTCACCTGCACATCTGCCAATGTGGTATACTGCATCCGCTGTACCCGGTGTGGCTTCCTCTACATCGGGGAAACCAAGCGGAGGCTCAGGGACCACTTTGCAGAACACCTACGCTCGGTTCGCAATAAACAACTGCACCTCCCAGTCGCGAACCATTTCAACTTCCCCTCCCATTCCTCAGACGACATGTCCATCCTGGGCCTCCTGCAGTGCCACAACGATGCCATCCGAAGGTTGCAGGAACAGCAACTCATATTCCGCTTGGGAACCCTGCAGCCCAATGGTATCAATGTGGATTTCACAAGCTTCAAAATCTCCCCTCCCCCTACCGCATCCCAAAACCAGTCCAGCTCGTCCCCGCCTCCCTAACCTGTTCTTCCTCCCACCTATCCCCTCCTCCCACCTCAAGCCGCACCCCCATCTCCTACCTACTAACCTCATCCTGCCCCCTTGACCTGTCCGTCCTCCCTGGACTGACCTATCCCCTTCCTAACTCCCCACCTACACTCACCTTTACTGGCTCCATCCCCACCTCTTCGACCTGTTTGTTTCCTCTCCACCTATCCTCTCCTCTATCCATCTTCTATCCGCCTCCCACTCTCTCCCTATTTATTCCAGAACCCCCTTCCCCTCCCCCTTTTCTGATGAAGTGTCTAGGCCCGAAACGTCAGCCTCTCTGCTCCTATGATGCTGCTTGGTCTGCTGTGTTCATCCAGCCCTGCACCTTGTTGTCTCACCTGTCGGAACAATTCTGTTTCATATCATTCAAACACAGTCTCCAGTAAGAATAAAGTTACAAATGGGATGGGACTGAGCAAAGTTCATTCCCAATTTGGCAAGAATCGGATTTTAAAAATCGCCGTCATTTACTTGTTGGAATTTGTCCTGAATCCAGGGATCATGAGCTGTGTGTAATGATGGTTGCATTAAGTGCCGTTTGCTTTCCCAATCAGGAAATACTGAGGCTTGAGCAGGAGCAAATGTCAATCACTAAGAGTGACGACACGGGGAGTGTCTGACATTGTATTATCTGGCAGCTAAATGCATTGCAAAGAGATATTGAAGAAATGTTTTTCTAGTTTTGAAATCTTGCACGGACATTTCAGACAGATGATTTCAGAAGTTAAAACACCCACATACTGAACATGATA